TTATCAAACGAAAATTAAGCCCATTGCCATCAAGTCGATTCAAACCCCAGACTGTGGTTTGAAGCTGTAAATCTTTCTGTACCGGACCAGAGAGCCTCATCATTCTCCCTTGGTACTCCAAGCTGGTGTGTTTGAACTGCCAACCTGTGGTTAGCAATCCAATGCTACACAACAGCCATCAGGGGTCTGAAAGAAAACTGGACTTAAATTTAAGAAGCCTTCAAAGTTAACATCCAGTTTACAAAAAAAATAAATAACATGGGAAAGAGGAACAAGTCAAAGGACACCATGAGAAGCAAGCAAACACGAAATCCACGAAATGGGAGCTGTTATAAGACAACTTAACCAGATTTTTCATTAAAGTCAATGGCATTGGGGGTGGGGCGATGGTGAAGAGTAGGAAGGACTGATCTAGATCAAGGGCTTTAGAACACCTTTTTGGCTGTCAACAATTGGGGCTGTCAACTAGTGGGTAGGGGCCGGAGCCACTGCTATACACCTATAATGCATTGGGCAGCACACCCATGACCACCCCCTGCCCAACAGAAAATGACCTTGCCCAAAATGTCTTCACAGGCTAAGGTGGAGAAGCTCCAATCTGGATTAAGAGTCTTTTGTGGATCCAATCCTAATTTCAATAAATCAACTGTGGAAAACATTATTGAGTCAACAGAAATGTTAACATGAACTGGTTATTGAATGGTATCAAGGACGCTTGCTAATTTTGCTAGTATCTGAATAAGACTGATGTTAGATGGATCAAGAAACTACTGTTAATTCAGTTAGCTGTTGTAATATGAAGTCCAAGGAAAGATCCTTTTCTTTTTTTTCTTTCGTTTTAAAGAGATGACTAATTAAAAATAAAGATTCCCTGGGTGGCACAACCATCACTTGACTATGAGCCAAAAGCCTGTCAAGTCGCTTCAGAGAGGTCATAACCTTGAAAACCCCAGAGTCCTTCCACTCTGCACAGTCCTGGTCACCATGAGTCAAAGTCAACTTGATGGCAACTAATAACCAAGAATATTGGGTGCAGTATAGCACTGACGAAACACACATTCCTCTAGTGCAGTGGTTCTCAACTTGGGGGTTGCAACCCCTTTGGAGGCAGAATGACCACAGGGGTCATCAGATTCATAACAGTAGCAATATTATAGCTATGAAGTAGCAATGAAAATAATTTTATGGTTTGGGGGTCACCACAACATGAGGAACTGTATTAAAGGGTGGAGACATTAGGAAGGTTGAGAACCATTGCTCTAGTTCTTTAATGCTTCCTCTCCACCTACTATCATGACCCCAGTTCTATCTTACAAATCTGGCTAGACGAGAGCATGTACACTGGTACAGATAAGAGCTCAGAACACATAGAATAAAGGACAGATAAACCCCTCAGGACCAATAATGAGAGTAGAGATACCATGAGGGTAGAGGGAAGGTGGAGGAGGGCGGGTAAAAGGGGGAACAGATCACAACGATCAACATACAACCTCCTCCTCACCCCCAGAGAGGCAAACAACAGAAATGTGGGCGAAGGGAGGCAGTGGATGGTGAAAATTGTGAAAATAAAAATAATTTATAAATTATTAAGGGTTCACTAGGGTGAGAGGGTAGGGGAAGGAGGGGGGAAAAGAGGAGCTGTTACCAAGGGCCTCAAATAGAAAGAAAATGTTTTGGAAATGATGGCAACATATGTACAAATGTGCTTGATACAACTGATGTATGGATTGTTATAAGAGCTGTAAGAGCCCCCAATAAAATGATTTTTTTAAATAAACTGAAAATAGTTTTTAAATTCCCCAAAAAACCCAGGGATAAAATTATATGGGATCTGCTTCAAAGTATTTCAGCAACAACAAAAAAGGCCTACATGAAACAAGCATGGTAAGGTTTAATGACTATTGCATCTGAATGACAGGTGTATGAAGGGATGGTACCATTTTTCCAACTCTGTGTACACTTAAAATCTTTAACTATAAAAAGGCGACACATTCCAAAAGTAAAATATGAAAGACTAATAAATGGGCAGGGGATTAATTGCCAGAGATTGTCAGTCACAAAGAAAGCTAACAGTATATACTATTACAAACACAATCTGTGCTCGCTTCGGCAGCACATATATTAAAATTGGAAGAAAGCATTTCTCAAATAAACCACGGTATCCTAAGTGACAACGCTTGAATCTTATTCAACAAACCTTTATGGAGAGGCAACAACCTGCGAGGCACTGTCCTAGGTACTAAAAGAAAACGTCTGCAAGAGACTTACACTCCAGAAAACAGAACAAAACCAGATGGGGAAGACCAGATCTGAGATGTGCCTTAAAAGGAAGGGGGAAGCAATGAGGAAGTCGAGGTGAATTCTAGACAAAGCCAGAGAAGTTTCAAAGGCTTACAGACCCTTTTAATCACATCATCCACCGTCTTTTTTCTGGCTCTCACCAAAGAACCGGAGGCACTGAATAGTCAGGCATAAGAAGTTCACTACGGGCCAGGGTACAAAGGGACTAAAGCCAACGCAGCATTCCACATCAGGGTTCACAGTAAAGACTAGAATGATCCAACACAAGGGAAAGACCAGAAAACATTGTCTCTTCAAAAGGTCAGAAAAAAATAGCCTAGTAATGACGAACAAACAAATGTCATGACTGGTTTAGACTAACTCTGAGAGTGTTTAACAAAAGCACTGAAGAATTGGGGGAGGAGGGGCAAGATAACTGAGAAGATAAAACCTGAGTTTCAGGATGGTACTAATTGGGTGTAAGTCAGTAGAATCATTTATTCCACTGTTTTCTTCCAGCATCTTTCCCCAGATGATGTGCCAAACATGACTCCTTAAAATAACTTGCTCTGGCTCTTAATTTCTCCCTCCAAACCACTGCAAACAGAGTACTACAGCTCTATCTTTGGGAAATCTTTTCTCAATAATCTTAGAGTCCTCTATTCACAACATGGCCAGGGCAAAGGAAAATTATGGGAGGTATGTAAGAGTTAAAAGTGACAACAGTATATACTATTACAAACACAATCCTAAAATAACAGTAATAATCACTTACAAGTGGATAGATAGATAGATAGATAGATAGATAGATAGATAGTTTGAACAGGTGTGGAATGACATATGGGAGTATACCATGAGCATACATTGATTTGGCAGAAAATATCTCTACATATGTATTTGTATGGGCTACAAATATACTCAAGTATTTAATAGAGCATAAAACTTCTTAGACATAACAAAACACCTTGAGATGAGTCACTGGACTTGAGAACTGAGGACTACAGTGTATGTCAACTGGCATGATGTCATCCATAGTCTACATGCTACTTTGGTGAGTAGCAACTGGGGTCTTAAAAGCTTGTGATCTGCTAAAATACAAGTATTGGTCTCTTCTGTCCAGAGTAAATAAGGAAGAAAATCAAAGACTAAGGAAATAATGAGTCCCAAGGACTAATGAACCACACAAACCACAACCTCCACCTACCTGAGACCAAAAGAACTAGATGGTGCCCAGCTACTACTACCAAATGCTCTGATTGGAATCAAAATAAAAAGTCCTGGGCAGAATGGGGGAAAGGGAACTGAACTCATTCCCGGGGATCACCTTTCAGGCACACAAGAAGCCCATGTAGAAAACCAAGCATATGAGACCAAACGGAGCATTTGTGCGAAAACAAAGCTCAGAAGACAGGAAGGGGCTGAGAAGATGGACGAATGGAAACAGGGAACCCGAGGAGGAAGTGGGAAGAATGCTGTTACATTGAAGGTTTTGTAACTAATGTCATGAAACAGAATGTGTGAAATATAACAAATGGGAAACAAATTAGATTTTTAAGTTTCCACCCCAGTCCAAATCCACTAAAATGTTCCCATTCGGCCACCAATCCTCTATTGAGGTTGATTGCCAGTCTTACACAAATAATGTTTGGTAGAATTTTTACAAACCATGCAATCCCTTTGAGTTTCCGATGAATGTGTTATTTACATAGGCATCCTACACATGGGTACATTAGATGCAAAAACACAGTAGGAATTTTCAAGTATCACACACAGAAATTCTATCAATTCATTTAATCTTCTCAAGGGAAGAATTCAATTGTGACCGCTTTCCTGTCAATTTTGATCAATAAGTTTAAGAGGACTGGCTCTCTTGCTAACTGAAGACACATCACAAACTTTTTACCCTGGCCAAATTCCAAGGCTGCCGCATGAGTGAATGGAACCATGAGTGAACGGCAACAATGAAACGCTGCCAAATGGTCGTGTCTTACAGTGATGTAAGAAAGGGATATACGGGTCAATTCCACCAAGAGACAGCTCACTGCAATCAAGTCTCAATAGCGACCCTACAGGACAGGGGAGAACTGCTGGGGGGCGGGGTGGGGGGTGGGGGGGGGGTTCCCCAGACTGTAACTTTTTACAGGAACAGAAAGCCTCATCTTTCTTCCAGGGTGGCTGGTGGTTTCTAACTGCTGACATGTTTAGCTGCCCAACACGTGGTCCATGACGCCACCAGGGCTCCTAAGAGATAGCCAAAGGGGGTCAAACCCACCCCTGTATTTATTGCAAGCACAGGTCCATGTAAGGAACAAACTCTGAAAATGGCTAGGCATTTCAAGAGTTGGTCTTGAAGAGACTTCTGATTGATGTTGCAAATGAAAATTTTTATTTAAAAATGCAGCCACCACCCCTCCACTTTTTTTTTTTTGTCAACAGCAAGAACATCTGGGCTGTTGGTTGAGCAAAACCATAGACTACATTGACAAGTAATGCTTGGGCTAGCCCACTACTCTGTGGTGTCTCCAGCATCTCTACATACCGTTCTTGGAGGAATCCACACCGAGCTCATTTAAAAGCTGGGAGGTCAGATAACATCCGGAGGGCAAATTAGCCAAGGCACTGAGTGTTGGAATTAGACTACTGCACTTGTTAAGGTCCTGAGGCCAGCTCACTTAGGGCCCTCGGGGTGAACATTTGGGCTCCAGCAGATGCTTTCTTACCTGTGGGGTCATCTTCGACGGATCTGGCTCAGACGTGGCTTGCGGCTTCTCAGAATTCTTGTTCTGGGGTCCACTCTCCAAAGGCTCTTGCTGAACAGTTGCCTTATTCCCAGAAGGTCCGGTGGGTGGTGGTGGAGCTTGGAGTTGGGATTTAGGGTGGCCCTGGGAAGGGCGGGAAGGAGATGCCTGAGAAGAGGGCAAGTAGGCCTGGGAATGGCTCAAATAGGATGAGGACGAAGAGGTGGAGGTGGATGTGGAGGTGGTGGAGGAAGAATAAGAGGTGGGCGCCAGGTACGGCTGGGGCGGTGGGGACTGCGAAGGAGACGGCTGAGCAGGAGGCGGGTAGGGCTGGGACGAAGATGGAGGGTAGTACGAGGGTGGAGGCATGTAAGGCTGAGAGGGGGGCATATAGGGTCCTGGCGGCACAGGGGGAGATTCAGGGGGGGAATCCAGCTCCATGGGAACCAAAGCAGGAGGCCCGTCTCGTTGGTGATGAAGCATCTGATGTTTGTACTGCTGCTGCTTCTGATAGCTGAGGGCCGGCCCCGGCGGCGGGGGCATCGG